AGTGTTTTCCATGTGATCATTGCTATAGGTCAGTGTTTTCCATGTGATCGTTGCTATGGTCAGTGTTTCCCATGTGATCGTTGCTATGGTCAGTGTTTTCCATGTGATCGTTGCTATGGTCAGTGTTTTCCATGTGATCGTTGCTATGGTCAGTGTTTCCCATGTGATCGTTGCTATGGTTAATGTTTTCCATGTGATCGTTGCTATGGTCAGTGTTTTTCATGTGATTGTTGCGATAGTCAGTTATTTCCATGTCGTTGTTGTTTGGTCAGTGATTGTTGCTATCCAATAATTGGACTTAACAAGAAAATATTTGATTTACTCAATCATCGGATGAATAATATAAATTATAATATAATTTTTTACCTCCGCTGTCGACTTTGTTGAGCGGAGCTTATCATACGAGTGATTGTCCATCGCCGTCCGTGTCAATTTTTAGCTTCGCTGTTGACTTTGTCGAGCGAAGCTTATCATATGAGAGATTGTCCGTCGTCTGTCGTCGTCCGTGTCAGCTTTTTGCTTTTTGACTTTTCTTGAAATCTACAATTCTTATTGCTTTGATACTTGGGCAGACCTCTCTTAGATTTGTTTATTTTGTGATGATATCTTCAATTCTCTAATTTTAATGAATTTATATTGGACATTTTAGGTAAAAAGTCCAATTGCTTTGATACTATACATATTGTTCATTTTCTAATGATATCTATTAATGGTATCGCCAGCAACGGAGTTATCTCGGCAGACAGACAGGCTGCTTGTTAATGGTTGAATTATTAGATGTTTTTAATCATCAGTGGCAACATTATTTTTGATTTGATGATGTTAAGGAAGTTAATTTCACATGGTATGAACTTTTCAATTTTATTTACTCCTTCTCATTCAGACATGATACTGAACACAGTTATGATGAATTCACTGCTTACTATATTATTCATGGCATGTCTCTTGGAAGAACTAGTCTCTCTTTTGTTGCAAGTCTTAAAAATGGACAAACTGTGTCAAGCCGACCAAAAGACATACAGGTATTATATTTTTTTTAATTTTGGAATCTGATATATTCTTATTACAAATTTTGTGAATAATGTTTATAGCTGGAAATTTGTTTTGCTGCCAAGCTGTCTAATTACAACATGGTAATCTGTATTACTATCATGGTACAACATGGTAGTCTGTATTACTATCATGGTACAACATGGCAGTTTGTGTTACTATCATGGTACAACATGGCAGTCTGTATTTCTATCATGGTACAACATAGCAGTCTGTATTACTATCATGGTACAACATGGCAGTCTGTATTACTACCATGGTACAACATGGCAGTCCAATACTATCATGATTACAGCATGTGGCAGTCAGCTGTTGATAACAACATGGTTGTTTTCTACATTATTCATAGGTTTTTCCATCCTTGCGACTCAATCCTCGGAATGTTACTCTTATTATTGGTGCAGTGTTTCAGGTAAGAAATGTTACATATCTGACACTTGTATACTTAGTTCTCAATTACCCAGTAATTCCATCAAACTAGTTCATGTCAAATTGTGTTGATTGAAGTAAAAACATATTTATAAGTTACACTGGTTCTGATTAACTAACATATCCATATTATCTGCATCTTAAATCCTAATTAGCTAACATATCCACATTAGCTGCATCTTAAATCCTGATTAGCTAACATATCCACATTAGCTGCATCTCAAATGCTGATTAGCTAACATATCCATCCACATTAACTGCATCTTAAATCCTGATTAGCTAACATATCCACATTAGCTGCATCTTAAATCCTGATTAGCTAACATATCCACATTAGCTGCATCTTAAATCCTGATTAGCTAACATATCCACATTAGCTGCATCTCAAATGCTGATTAGCTAACATATCCATCCACATTAACTGCATCTTAAATCCTGATTAGCTAACATATCCACATTAGCTGCATCTTAAATCCTGATTAGCTAACATATCCACATTAGCTGCATCTTAAATCCTTAGCTAACATATCCACATTAGCTGCATCTTATATCCTGATTAGCTAACATATCCACATTAGCTGCATCTTAAATCCTGATTAGCTAACATATCCACATTAGCTGCATCTTAAATCCTGATTAGCTAACATATCCACATTAGCTGCATCTTAAATCCTGATTAGCTAACATATCCATCCACATTATCTGCATCTCAAATGCTGATTAGCTAACATATCCATCGACATTATCTGCATCTCAAAAGCTGATTAGCTAACATATCCACATTATCTGCATCTTGAATCCTGATTAGCTATCTGCATTAGCTAGGTACAGAAAACACATTATACAGTATACTTATTATCAGTTTCTTTTCATGTGTTCAATGAGAAATATTAGATCGCAACCATTTTGTTTAAAGCTGTGTATGTTATTGTCAATTTGCATACTTTAGGTTCATAGTTTTGGAGGGCCACAACCCCAGTCTCACATAGAATACAGCATAGATGACAAGAACATTGCCAATATTAATGGAAGTGGTTTGATTGAAGCACTGTCATTGGGGCATACAAGAATCAATGGTAAAGCACAGGGATTTGACACAGAGACTGGTGAGACAGTTGTGTACTCACAGGTATGTGGACAAAGAGATTGGTGAGACAGTTGTGTACTCACAGGTATGTGGACAAAGATTGGTGAGACAGTTGTGTACTCACAGGTATGTGGACAAAGATTGGTGAGACAGTTGTGCACTCACTGGTATGTGGACATAGAGATTGGTGAGACAGTCGTCTACTCACAGGTATGTGGACAAAGATTGGTGAGACCGTTGTGTACTCACAGGTATGTGGACAAAGATTGGTGAGACCGTTGTGTACTCACAGGTATGTGGACAAAGAGATTGGTGAGACAGTTGTGTACTCACAGGTATGTGGACAAAGATTGGTGAGACAGTTGTGTACTCCCAGGTATGTGGACAAAGTGATTGGTGAGACAGTTGTGTACTCACAGGTATGTGGACAAAGAGATTGGTGAGACAGTTGTGTACTCACAGGTATGTGGACAAAGAGATTGATGAGACAGTTGTGTACTCACAGGTATGTGGACAAAGAGATTGATGAGACAGTTGTGTACTCACAGGTATGTGGACAAAAAGATTGGTGAGACAGTTGTGTACTCACAGGTATGTGGACAAAGAGATTGGTAAGACAGTTGTGTACTCACAGGTATGTGGACAAAGATTGGTGAGACAGTTGTGTACTCACAGGTATGTGGACAAAGATTGGTGAGACAGTTGTGTACTCACAGGTATGTGGACATAGAGACTGGTGAGACAGTTGTGTACTCACAGGTATGTGGACAACAAGATTGGTGAGACAGTTGTGTACTCACAGGTATGTGGACAACGAGATTGATGAGACAGTTGTGTACTCACAGGTATGTGGACAAAGAGATTGGTAAGACAGTTGTGTACTCACAGGTATATGGACAAAGATTGGTGAGACAGTTGTGTACTCACAGGTATGTGGACAAAGAGATTGGTGAGACAGTTGTGTACTCACAGGTATGTAGACAATGATTGGTGAGACAGTTGTGTACTCACTGGTATGTGGACATAGAGATTGGTGAGACAGTCGTGTACTCACAGGTATGTGGACATAGAGACTGGTGAGACAGTTGTGTACTCACAGGTATGTGGACAAAGAGATTGGTGAGACAGTCATGTACTCACAGGTATGTGGACATAGAGATTGGTGAGACAGTTGTGTACTCACTGGTATGTGGACAAAGATTGGTGAGACAGTTGTGTACTCACAGGTATGTAGACAAAGAGATTGGTGAGACAGTTGTGTACTCACAGGTATGTGGACAAAGAGATTGGTGAGACAGTTGTGTACTCATAGGTATGTGGACAAAGATTGGTGAGACAGTTGTGTACTCACAGGTATGTGGACAAAGAGATTGATTAGACAGTTGTGTACTCACAGGTATGTGGATAAAGAGATTGATGAGACAGTTGTGTACTCACAGGTATGTGGACATACAGATTGGTGAGACGTGTCTACCCACTGGTATGTGGTATAGAGATTGGTGAGACTTGTCTACTCACAGGTAAGTGGACATACAGATTGGTGAGACTTGTCAACTCACAGGTATGTGGACGTAGAGATTGGTGAGATGTGTCAACTCACAGGTATGTGGACGTAGAGATTGGTGAGACTTGTCTACTCACAGGTATGTGGACATAGAGATTGATGAGACTTGTCTATCACAGGTATGTGGACATAGAGATTGGTGAGACTTGTCAACTCACAGGTATGTGGACGTAGAGATTGGTGAGACTTGTCTACTCACAGGTATGTGGACATAGAGATTGATGAGACTTGTCTATCACAGGTATGTGGACATAGAGATTGGTGAGACTTGTCAACTCACAGGTATGTGGACATACAGATTGGTGAGACGTGTCAACTCACAGGAATGTGGACATACAGATTGGTGAGACTTGTCAACTCACAGGTATGTGGACATAGAGATTGGTGAGATGTGTCAACTCACAGGTATGTGGACATAGAGATTGGTGAGACTTGTCTACTCACTGGTATGTGGACATAGAGATTGGTGAGATGTGTCAACTCACAGGTATGTGGACATAGAGATTAGTGAGACTTGTCAACTCACAGGTATGTGGACATAAAGATGATGAGACGTGTCAACTCACAGGTATGTGGACATAGAGATTGGTGAGACTTGTATGTCGACAAGTTGACCTTTAACGCTACCCACAATGTTTACCTCATTATGCAGTGTGCACGCCCCCACTCCTTTTCTGTATCCGTTCAGTTATGTCACTGCATATCATGAATAAATAATAGCAACAGATTAGCTGCAAATAAGACCAGTCTGTGGTAGTTTCGCGTTCCCTCCACCCTTCACAAAACTTTTTTTCCAATTATTTTTTATTGTTATTATTATTATTTAACTGAAAAAAATCACCACAGCTGGGCCAGTCTAATTAGCTTATATACACATACATGTTTGTTTATCACAACATGCTGACACATCCAACCTTTTCAATTTTTTTATTGCATGTTTCTGTTTTCAGGATCAGATTGATGTTTATGTGGTTAGACTCACTGCTATAAATGTGTATGCACCATTATCTAGATTGGAAACTGCTGCCGAAGTAAGTATACATGTATTTGATCCCATTGCATCATGGCTCATTCCTGTAAACTTTAAACAGAGAGCCACTTGGTCATTCATGTAAATCTCAACCATAGTTCTACTTGGTTCATTCTAGTAAACCAACCATACTGGTGGTTCTATTTCTTTTAAACCCTAAACATGTAAAAAGAATTCTTGCTACATCATTGGCTACATGTAACTCTTGTTTCTCATTAGATGCCTGTATATGCTATTGGAGTAAACGAACATCAAACACCTTTCACATTTGGACATGCTATACCTGGATTGAAGTTTTACTGGACTGTCAGTAACGTAGATGTGATAACCCTCTCTACAGTCTACCATAAGGTGGGTGTACACTATATATTGACAATGTAGAAAAATGCTTCTTGCATAATATGATTACATACATTTTCATTGGTTTATGTGCTTACTATTTGTCATTGCTAAACACTTGTGGATGAGAATTTCTTTTGAAATTGTAGTAAATTTTGTGCTTTCCTAAAAGAAACATTTATTATTATTTATTTATTCATTTATGTATTTATTTATTCATTTATGTATTTCTTTCTATCCTCTCTTTTTGTATTCCTATCTCCATACATATGTTTGTGTGTCATTTATTTCCTCCAGTCATGTGGCTGTGACATCATATTGCCTGACTGTTCATGTATGGTATGTACTGCTATGGTTATTATATTGTCTCAGTCTCACATACTTGCGTTATTGAGCATTGTTATCTGCTTTAATAATAACACTACTCTGATTGACACTTATTAGCCGCAATATTTCAAGAGTAAATTAAATCATAAATTAGGCAATAGCAAAAACTGTAACCCAAATGTAGAAATGTTCCCAGCCTGGTTGAGAAACAAAAGAGAATTACTACTGTTACAATTTTATTAAATCTGATATTGTAGAATAATGAATTTGATATTGTATTAATATATTCATTCGACAGCTTCTAAAAGCAATGAACTAAAGCAGTGATTATAATTTGTAAGCACATATTCAAGACATCAGAGGTCATTCTGCTCGCATTTATGAATGCTGATTATCGATACTTTCCACTATTGCAATTAAGAAATATATTTATTTTTGAAACCATGATCTCTATATTTTCATTATTGGGCTTGTTGGTACATAATGTAACATGATTATAGTAATCTTGGAGTCATGATAATGTTCAATCATATGCCAACTAAAACTAACAGAAATGTTACTAATAAATTTATAATACGTTGATATAATGACATATTTAGTGATTAATGATAGTCGTCCTGGTGTCAACAACTCAATCTGCTAAACTAAAAATGAAATTTTGTTGATCAATATCTAATTATTTTCTACCGACTTTGAAAAGTGTTAAATTGATCAGAAACCAAAAAATAGATATACCTGCATGATTAATGGAATGTCTGGTTTCAACATTATTTTAAATGTGGTGTGGTAGTTTGTGCTGTCAAATTTCTGCTTCTACAAACTATTGTGATTTGATTGTGTTCTTGGTCAGCAGTGGAATGCCAGCTAGAATATTCCAATTACCCAACAGTAGTTATAAACACTGAAACATTATTAACAAATAATTAGTTCTGGTCGCACAGTAACAATATTTTCCATATTTGGCAAGTCATTATATACAGGATCAGATTTTACTGGAGGATCCAAGCAACCACATGTTTCACGTAAAAATTATTATAATAAATCTTTACACTGAATTGCCATGACACATGGAATAAAAGCACATGCATGCTGTACAATATACTTGTATTTAGTCAGTATTTTGTACACTAAGGCAATATGTAGTTAATTCATCATACTTCTATAAACTGATTGGGTGAATGGAGTCACATGATGCTTTCATCATTGCTCATTAATTTTGTACAGTTTTCTCTGACTTTTTATTTAGTAGCCTACTAAGGTATTACCTAACTTTAATATTGTTTCATTCATCTTATAAGAAACCTGCAGTACAGTTTGAGAATTTAGATAGCTTGAATGTCAATTTTGAAACTCCGATTTGAGATTTGTTGTGATCCAAATCCAAATTCACACTCACATTCCATTGTTCACATGAAACATGTCTTTGATGCATTTGAACGCCACCAAAACCAGAACACTAAAATAAAACTGATATATCAATTCCTAAAATATTTTCAAATCATCTATTGCACATTAAGTTTTTTTGGATTTACACACACATCATTACAGTATTATCAGTAATACATGATTTACACTCGCATCATTACAGTATTATCAGTAATACATGATTTACACTCGCATCATTACAGTATTATCAGTAATAGATGATTTACACTCACATCATAATATTATCAGTAATACATGCTTCACACATTACAGTATTATCTGTAATACATGATTTACACACATCATTACAGTATTATCAGTATTACATGCTTCAAACACACACTTCATTACAGTATTATCAGTAATACATGATTCACACACACTTCATTACAGTATTATCAGTAATACATGGTTTACACACATTACAGTATTATCTGTAATACATGATTTACACACATAACAGTATTATCAGTAATAGATGATTTACACTCACATCATAGTATCAGTATTACATGCTTCACACAAACTTCATTACAATATTATCAGAAATACATGATTCACACACACTTCATTACAGTATTATCAGAAATACATGATTTACACACATTATAGTATTATCAGTAATAGATGATTTACACACACATTACAGTATTATCAGTAATAGATGATTTACACTCACATCATAATATTATCAGTAATACATGCTTCACACACACTTCATTACAGTATTATCAGTAATACATGCTTCACACATACTTCATTACAGTATTATCAGTAATACATGATTCACACACACATCATTACAGTATTATCAGTAATATGTGATTTACACACACATCATTACAGTATTATCAGTAATATGTGATTTACACACACTTCATTACAGTACTATCAGTAATACATGCTTCACACACACACTTCATTACAGTATTATCAGTAATACATAATTCACACACACATCATTACAGTATTATCAGTAATATGTGATTTACACACACATCATTACAGTATTATCAGTAATATGTGATTTACACACACTTCATTACAGTATTATCAGTAATACATGCTTCACACACACTTCATTACAGTATTATCAGTAATACATGATTCACACTCATCATTACAGTATTATCAGTAATACATGCTTCACACATACTTCATTACAAAATTATCAGTAATACATGATTCACACACATCATTACAGTATTATCAGTAATACATGCTTCACACACACATCATTACAGTATTATCAGTACTACATGATTCACACACACATCATTACAGTATTATCAGTATTACATGCTTCACACATACTTCATTACAGTATGATCAGTAATACATGCTTCACACATACTTCATTACAGTATTATCAGTATTACATGCTTCACACACACACTTCATTACAGTATTATCAGTAATACATGATTCACACACATCATTACAGTATTATCAGTAATACATGCTTCACACATACTTCATTACATGCTTCACACATACTTCATTACAAAATTATCAGTAATACATGATTTACACCAACTTTATTACAGTATTATAAGTAATAAATGATTTACACACACATCATTAAAGTATTATCAGTAATATGTGATTTACACACACATCATTACAGTATCATCAGTAGTACAAGATATCATTATTTATTAAAATTTAATGTATATAACACATTGTTAAGCACAGAAATTTCACGTTTATTGAATTCCACACAATGTTTTGACACTACTACCATGTTTTGTGATGTTTTAATTCAATTTCTAGCATAACGTGATTTCACAAAGAAATGGTCTATTATTAGCATAATTAGAATTTGTTATCACATTTTTTATTTTACATCCTGGTTTGCTTTCAGATTGGCATTGATAGCTCAGATGAGAATAACTTTGGAATGCGGTTACACGCCATCAATCCCGGGCAAGCCACTGTGCGATTGAAAGTAACCATCTCACAGAGTGGTCACAATCAAATCTTGGATGACATGGTACTCATAGATGAAGTACAGATAGAAGTGTTTGCCAAATTATCTTTAATACACCCAGATACATGCTCCAGTATGTTATTGATGTCACACAACACACAGACTCAAATTAAAACAAATAGGTAAATATCTTGATTGTTAATTGCTCAAAGGGTTGTCATGGTAACCATGATATAAGATGAATTTAACATTACTCTCAAAAGATGGACTTTTCTAATATTATATAATTAGGTAGTGAAGAGCTTGGTAAAAAAATTACTAAATTGAACTACTAAGCAAATGGTAGTTTGCTGACAAAAGCAATTTTGTTGGATTGATTATTGATTGTTATACAAGATCAAAAATAGACAATTTTGTTGATTAACACACATTTAATTCTTCAGGCTTCCGATGAGTTTATGCAAATTTTCATGCTTGGATCTCAAAGGATATAATGATACATTTGTAATTTATCTTGTATATAAAACACTATACATGATTTGATAGGATTCAGATGCTCACCAAACATCAACAATTTGCTGATATTTTGTCAAATCTTAACAAAAATCTGTTTGACATTAAATTTATTGATTTATTGTTTTATATGGCAAGCAATGTCCCATGACACTAGTTGCCATTGTAAAACAACTGAATCTTTTAAATTGTTGTAAATATTGCAATGTCTTTGATACTGATAAATGGCCTTATATGTGCTTTGAGACTACATGACAGGGCTGTGTGACCATCTCTCTATCAATTGGCAATTCAATGTGCTATCCTGGTGTTAACCAGGCTCAATTGAACACAGGCACTTGTGTACCTTAACCAAGGTTCCCCCAAAGTCGCATTCGTTAGTGAATGAATCTTGGTCAGTGGAATTGGCCTTCCCATTGAGTCTGTGGCACACTCACCCAGGGTAAGGGTTGATGTTCAGCCTGATGTAGGATTTGAACTTGGGTCTACCGGTCATGAGTCTGATGCAACAACCACTATGTTACCAGCGAACGGTGCTTTTGTACTCTTTGCAAGTATAATTGCTTTTGTGATAGACATGTTACATAGGAGGATGTCGTTCACAGTGACAACTTTGTTTTGGGGATGATGGTATTATTATCTATTGAGAGCAGTGACGTATTATTAATGGGCTGAATGCAATCACAACTATTATTCAAGTGGATATGATTATCCATTAACTCTATGAATACATTATTTTACTTGTGTATTGTGTATCATAGGCACCATAGTCATGTGGTAAAATATTAACATCTCATTTTATCTTGTGTCATTTTGTTATTACAGAGATGGTTCTGCTCGAGTCAGTTACAGTTTATTGAATCTTTTTGATGGTGAACCAGTGATCACAATAGACTCCATGGGTTACGTGAATTCAAGGTCATTGACTGGTCAGACATCTGTATTAATCACTTCACATGAAGAATTTGGTATAAACCAAACTGCTGTTGTTCTTGTCAAAGTAAGAGGGTCTGGTTTACATTGTGATAGTATTGTATTGAGACCTGAAATTACCTAGTTCCAAATTAAATAAAGGTTCAGCTGAAAATGTAGTGTGATAATCCATCTTTGTTTAAAGTGTTTTTTTGATTAAATATTGTGATGTTTCTTAACCACCAATTCATCATGCATCTTTCCAGGTTAAGCCTGTATCTTATCTAGCCATCAATTGTGAGATGGCTGTCACCACAATGGAGAGAAAACTCTACTCCTTTCCAGTTGGAATCAGTCTCTTCTTTACAATTAGTTTCCATGACGATCTTGGGGAGAAGTTTCATTCAACAAACAGTGAATTGAACTTCAGGATTAACAGGTAATGCTTGATGGCTTTATTTTCACTAAATTTTTCACAGCAAGGGAATATACTTGCTAGAACCAAGTTCAATATTATCTATTATGTCCCCACATTTTGTTTTAAGTGATCTGAAATAATTTGATGTAGCTTAACTTGTACTTGACTATATACCATCACATCTGTTGTTCAAACACATTTTTTTCCACTCTTAGATTTGACCTCCTACAAGTAAACCAAGGGTTGGAGAATGGTACATTTGTTGCTAGGGCAACTAGTAGTGGGAATACAATATTCAAGGTAATGCACTTTATATCCTTGCCGATAATGCTATCATTTCCACCAACCCAACCCAACATCAAATCCACCAGCCCAACCCAACATTAAATCCACCGACCTAAACCATCAAATCCACCAACCCAACCCATCGCAACTCAACATCAAATCCACTAATCCAAACCCATCTTAACTCAACATCAAATCCACCAACCCAAACCCAACTCATCATTACATCCACCCACCCAACCCAACCCAACCCAACCCATCCCAACTCACAAACACATCTACCAGCCCAACTCATCTCATCATCACATCTACCAACCCAAATTAACCCAACTCATTACCATCTGCATTGTTTTATCAATCATTTTCTTTCAGGTTTGGGATAAGAACAGTCCACATATTGCTGATTATGTCAATGTACCTGTAGATAGCGTAATCACACCAAAGGACTCTAGTCACATCACTGTTGGAGACATTGTATGTTTTAACTCACCACTTGTTAAATTAGATGGTGAGTAGAATACTTAGTTTGCTGACACTTGAAAAAAAGTTAATTACAATGTAACAGTTGTGTACTTTCTGACAGATATCCACAACACATTAAAATAATTACTGAAATTTGAGTTGAGAGTAAAATTGAAAGAACTGTCAGAATTTGTTTACCATCACACAATATCTTGTGAAACCATTGTATTATTGTTGTCATAATGCTGTGCATATTACATGAGAAGACATGAGACCTATTAAGAATGCAGCTCTCAACTGTTGCTATCAAAGCATGTGTGATTTGTTACTCTGTAAAGTTTGTGGTCATGTATTCACAAATATATAAAATGTTTTAACAATTAGGACAGAGAGGTCACTGGAATTCAATGGATGGCAGTATCTTGTTTGTTGATTTTCATTCTGGTGTTGGCATAGCAACCAGGCCTGGAACTACCACAGTCTATCAGAATCTGACTGACAACTTTGTTACCCATACTGAGGTAAGTGTCAAGGAAACTGTTGCCATAGAGATGGTGTAATAGAAGTAAAAATTCACTTACTTTCTAAATCATTTGCTTCATAACTTTCATCTCCACCACACACTACACCTATATTCGCATCTGAATGAAGAATTTCTACTGTGTCTTTTCTGTACATCATAGTATTCCCGTCATGATACTGCACCTTGTGTTTCCTACCACTACTATGAGCCAGTGCACTCAGAGAGTATTCCGTGCATCGACCTCCGCTGCGCGTCGATACTCCAGCTGTACTGTCTGAGTGCATACTTTGAGGTATCCTTGTAATAACCATATTATTATACATCTTTTCCTTCCAAGGATACATCATGGGAATGCCGAAATCCAAAATGTTTAGAACAGAATCAGCAAACTTTTCTGTGTGAGGTCGGGCAAACCCTGGTGGCAGCCATGTTTGTTTGTATTATTAGAGAACGCTTATGTGCGTAATCATTCCATATTTTGAATTCGGATTTCCTTATATGGTAGGATGAAAATATCCCGTAAAATACCGCAAAATTAAGGCACACTGTAACTTACGGCATTACAGTGACAGATGTATGATGTGATTTATTGAAATTGTCACCTTACTTTAATACAGACACAAATAGAATACTAAAGTTATTCTAATACTACATAAACAGTTCTATGGTATAAAACCATTTATTATACAATCAGCACCAAAAACGATAGAATTTACTATTCCGTATAAAGCTGTATTTGCATTTATTCTAAATTGTATGTATATTCATTTGAATGTTGCCGTATTTTCTTGCAATAAGCTCATAATATTTTGTGTATTTCAGCAGGAATAAATAATTGTTTCTATCATCTTGTTGAGTTTGACATCACACTGTATTCTACTGTTTATACAGAATGTGTTCTAACTAATTAGACTGCAATATGGAAAGGTTAACATGAAAAACATGATGGGGTAATGAAACAGAAGGAACAATCAGACAGGTCAACACTGAAATTACAAGTTGAACTTGTGAAATTAAGATTGATTGGTATGGTATTGTGTCGACCAGATCCACAACCCATTCACAGTGCATGATTTCAGTGAGACTTGTGTAACCATATATATGGATGGTGTGCCCTTGTCTTTATCTACTCTTGACTTCGTATTACAGATAACAGTACATGCTGTACAAGACATCAGTATTGATGATACAGCTGTGATGTATGTTAGTAATCTTCCCAAAGATGAGCCATACAAGATACCTGTTGTTTTGGGTGAAATGTCTAATAATGTAAAAGGTATGCAATAAGCACTTGTGGCTGCAGCTATCAGTAACCTATTATATAGTTATAAAGCTGTGTAATAGTAATTTTATATACTGTGGAATACTTTATTTTCGCTGGAATTAATTTTCGCTGAAAAGGCTTTTTTGGCGTTTTGTATGGAATTTATTTTCACTGATTTTCAATGAGTTTAATGTTAAATATAGGAAAAAAGGTATATTCGCTGGATTTTATTTTCACGGAATCATCCCTTCAGCGAAAATAGCGAAAATAAATTCCAAGCGAAAATAAAGTATTCTACAGTAATAGCTATTGTATATGGTGGACCACTGCGAACAATTGTTTAAATGAAATTTTGCAGTCCAGTATTTTGTCTATTCTTGTTTAAAACAGAATTCTTGAAATTGGCCTGGCATTTAATTTATAACCTGTGCTTCTGTTGTGCAGTCCAGTCATTGGCAGCTTTTATTTCCTCAGCATTTTATAGGGGTTTTACATAGTGTCATCAGATTAAATACAAGAGGACATCTGACATGATTTAATAGATTAATTTGTTAAACAAGAGTAATAGGGACTCCTAAACTGTATTTTGTAACATGGCATGTTACTGTTAAAAAAGTGTCCCATGTATACCACTATAGCAACATGTTTGGTTTAACTGACTACTGAGCTATCCTAGG